CTCCACCTTTCAATAAACTCTGAATAAGAAGGAACATGACTTCTCTTGAAACATTTCTCATGTGTTTTGATAATACTTTGTCTGTAGATGTTAATGTTATATTTTCAGTCATTCATATTCTGTTCAGTATTATATCATTACATTAGTGCTGGAGCAATTTTTTTTTTTTTTTTTTTTTTTTTTTTTTTTTTTTACAAAATACCACATGCCTGGAAAAATGGCTTGCTCCATTTCTCGCCAATTTTAGTAAATGCATAATGTATTAAAAATGAAATCTTATAATTCTTGTTGAATGTTAAATACAGTTTCAAAACATCATTCTTTTGGTTTTGTTTTCAACTTGAGGAGCCAGGCAAAATTTAGGAAGCTAAGTCAAGTGAATTGGGAGGATGGGAAATAGCAGCCATTTTGTTTTTTGCCAAAGGTATTGTTACAGTGAAGGAGCTAGTTGTCATTACAGCAAGGCCTTTCTCATCACACATCTTCTGTTAAGCACCTCAAGACATCTTTTTAATCACTTAACAGTTTTGCCTGAGCACTATTCGGGTGCTGCGAAATGGGCCTTCCCTGATTTGCTAGTACTCTGCTTGGGCAATATACTCTCCTACACCAGTCTGCTGGTTTGCCCAGCTTTTTCTTTTTTATACTTACTTTGCAGTGTTTCTAATAAATGTCTCTAGTAGTTCAGGAGACACTAGATTGTAAAACCAGTTCAAGGACAGGATTTACTGCTTTTTGTTTAGACTTTGTATGGTGCTCAAAAGGAAGTGATAGTGGAAAACATGTCAGGGAAGAAACCAGATATTTTTGTTAACTTTTTGATATTGGACTGTGCTTATCTCCATGTTTTAAAATATATCATACCAAAGCTGAAAAGAAATAAAAATATACATACGTAAAAAAAATACATCTTTTATTCTAGCATTTATCTTCTGTAATGTTCCAGTTTCACACCTTCATCCAAAAGAAAAAAAAAAAAAAAAAAAGGAGGGGGGCAGCTTTAAGTAAAAAATTCTATACTTTTGCAGTAATAAAAAATTATCATAAATTAATACATGCAATACCTGAACTACTTTGACAGCTAATTTAAATTCGTATAATCAATTTGCATACAAAATTGTTTTTAAAAAATATGCTTATTTTTGGTCACAGTATGGGAGGAAAATTAAACTGGTAAGTGGTTAAAAGTTGAAGTTGACCATAACATTGAAAAAGGAACAAACTGGCATTAAACAAATCCCTTGATTAAGACACAATAACACGCCGAACAAATACTAATTCAGAAGTCAAACAACAAAAATCAGCGTTATATTTTCAAAATTTTTGCAGGACTAGTTTCGATGGTTTTACCGAACCACCATCCTCAGCTGCAAAACCGCCAATGAACAAGATAGGAAATAATGATTAGATAAGATAAGAAAGCCTGGACACGAATAAGCAAGTGATGCCATCTTGTTGATGAAACCAGAACTAAAACATAATTTCTTTAAAAGCCGAAGGCAAAGATGGTTTGGAATTAGGATCGTTAACTAGAACAGAAAGATTTTTTTGAATGTGAAATGCCTCTAAAAAATCCAGTTCTCCAATGGAAGATGTTTTTTGAATAATTTTGGCAGCAGAAAAATTGAAAGTGTGATTTTCGGACCAACAATGTTGAGCAACAGAAGACTTCTGTGTTTCCTTTTTTTCTAACATATGCCTCATGTTCCTTGACGCGAAATTTTAAGGCTCTCTTAGTTTGGCCAATGTAAATTAAACCACACTGGCAAGGAATCCTATAAATACCCCAGGAATTCATATCGGAATGGGGTCCTTGAGTATGGAACTTGGAATTTTATTGATGGGAGAATAAACAACCCGAAAGTTAAATTTCTGCAAAATTATGTGCAACTTTATAGCTAATTGATGGAAAGAAGGGAATGACAACAGAATTTTTATAATCTCCTAAAACAAGAGTGTGCCTTTTAGTGTGTTGAGATGAGAATTTTTTAACTGCTTGATTAATAATGTTGCGTGAAAAGCCCCTGTCAATAGCTATTGCTTTTAAATAATTTAGTTCTTCATCAAGGGATAGTTTGGAGGAGCAAACTTGAAGAGCACGGAAAACATAGGAATAAAAATGAAGCTAACTTTTGTTTAGTCGTATGGCATGATTTAAAGTGTGGTGGAAGGCAAACCGATGAAGGTTTATGCTAAACCATAGTACTGAAGTTGGATGTGTTACGTGTGACCAGAATGTCAAGAAACGGAAGAGAATTGCAAGTCTCAAGTTCAAAAGTGAACTGAATAGCAGGATCAATAGAATTCATTGTTGAAAGAACTTTACTTAAATCATCTTTATTACCTTCAAACAGGGTAAAAGTATCGTCTACGTAATGGAACCATGCAGGGAAGTTTAAAGTTTCAAACAATTTTTGATTCATAATAATGCATGTAGATATCAGACAGGATGGGACTGAGGGGGCTTCCCATGGCTAATCCCTCAGTTTGCTTGTAATATTTATTTTGGAAAAACAAATGTGTTTGTTTCAAACAGAGTTGAGTGAGAGAAATTAGCTCATCAATTTCGATGCAAGAGAAATGAAATTTGCGAGGTCTGGTTTCTAGACATCTTAATGCACCCTCCCACTGGGAACATTGGTGAATAATGATTTTACATCAAAAGAAACCATGAGTAAATTTCTAGAAGAAATGTTTTTAACCATTTTTACAAACTCTATTGAATTTTTTATGGTGTAAATGTTATTGTCTAATAGATTTGAACGTCTAGAAACTAAATATTTAGCTAATGGATACGGGGCAGTACCTAAATGTGATACAATAGGGCAGAAAGGAATACCACTTTTATGAATTTTGGGAAGAGCATATAATCTGGCACAATTCGCAACAGATGGGATAAGCGAATGTTTTAAGATTTGATCACAGTTTTTATTTTTGACAGATCCGAAGGTGAAGGATCTTTAGAGATTGGATTATATGGTCCTTTGTTTAAGAGTTTAGTGACACCATCGATGTAAGTGTTCTTATCCATGACGACTATCTGGCCACCTTTGTCGGCCTTTGAAAAACGATAATATCCGGGTTAGAATGAATTCGCGCATTGTAGCTCTTTCTCTCGCAGTTAGATTTGGTTTCAAAGGTTTATTATTGAATTTCACATTATGAGCGATAAGATGCCTAATCATTTCTTTCTGTGAATCTGAAACTTTTACTGAACTTGAAAGCTTTTTCGATAGGAGCCAAAATCTTTGGAATCGAGGGTTTACAGGTTTGTGAGAAGTTAAAATTATATTTTAGAATTCTCTCTTGTTCTTCTGAAAGACTAACATTAGAAATATTAACTGTTGGTTTGATGTTTACAATGGGAAGATTTTTTGAACTACTTGAACTGGAAGACTGTAAAAGAAGTTTTTCGAATTTAACTGCAAGGGTGTTTTTATGACGGTTAACTGCATTCTCCGTTCTAGACCAAGACTTTTGTTCAAGAGCATTAGCGAGTTCCAGATGAAGCTTATAGAGTTCATGTTCAATTTTGGACAATTGTTGACGTGTATCCCTTATGATGGACCGAAGTAAGGCAAGCTTGCAATTTAACAGAATTTTTGAAACGCGACTGGAAGGTTTTTGATTAGATTAGATTTGAATAAAATTGGGGATCAATTTTTTACATTTACATTTAAGTAAAAAGTCAAGATGATTCAGGAATTTTTGCCGTTTTAGGCGTAATTTAGTGAAACGATTAACGGATGAAGGCATGATAAACAATGCAGAAATCAAACTAAATTAACTAAGCAATAATAAAGCACACACAAAACAGCAGAAAAATCCTCACTGAAACGAATAGAAAACAAAATGTTTGTAACCAAAATGCATGAAATGAGACAAGCAAAACACAATATCCAAATTTGGATATTGGATATTGTGCTTTGTGTGGAGGAAACAGTCAAGACTTCACCTGTGCAACCTATTAAAGATGTACAAGTTGAGCACACTCTGCACATTGTTGGCAGCAAAAGAGAACAAGTGGTATCATTATGATTAGAAGATTGCATTATAAGTTAAACAGAACTGCCATTTCTTACTGCTTCTTACTTAGCAATATAAATAGTTTTAAATCAATCTTACTGAACAGCTCTTTTAGCGTTGATTCTTACTTGAGAAAAAGAGGAAACACTTTCACATGTGTTAATGACTGTTAATTGATCCAAAATTAGTTTGTTCCCCTTGAAAAGTCAACTAATTTCCAGTGATAATTACTTTGTTTTTTTCACTTTTGCTTATAATTATCCTATTTTAATAATTCAGTTTTAAATATGCTAACAAGTAAATTCATTTCAATCAAATTCTAATTTAACTACGTTCTTTTCAGAGGAGATAACATATAATCTACTAGAAAATATATGTAGATTAATATGTATAGTTCAATGTAGTGCAAAGGCTGATTTATTTCCAGTATTTTTGCTTCCCCCTAACAGGTGATAATACAGTTTGCACCTTGTATAAATTAAACATATTAATAATTCAAAGCAAAGTATACTTTTATATAGTTCTTGCTTGTGAGAACATTATAGCTACTACAACCTAAAGAAATCAGCACTTTACTCATATATAGCTGTCTTTGTGGTTTATGTTTGGTCTGGCCTTGTAGGAATGTCGTAATATTCTGCTGTCATTTGGGTTTTATTTATTGTTAATTGTGAATGAAACAAAAAGATTTGTCATATATTAGTAATAACTATAATAAGATGCTATTATTATGTTTATCATTTTTTTCTTATATAAAAACTTCAGGTATTTTCAGAGAAAAGGCTTTATAAATATCTGTCATTTTACATTTTTGGGGCATGGTTAAAGTTTCCATCCTCCTCATGTAGGTTAGTATCTTTATATTTTGCAGTTTAGAGAAGCATAAAATTATATAATTTTATATGGCTTTATAATATACTTGTGATTAATAACAATTCTTTTAATGTTTTTTGTTATTTTCTATAACTTTGCAGGTTCTACTTGGCTTCAAGAAATAGTTTATTGCATTCTTAAAGGATTTGATGAATCTGCATCTAAAAGTATTGAAGAAAGATTTCCATACTTAGAATTTATATATCCTGGTTTATCATTTATAGAAAAAATTCCTGAGCAGCGTTTAATTAAAACTCACTTACCGTATTCTCTTTTACCTGAAGATGTTCACAAGAAAAAACCAAAAGTAAGAACTCCTTTTAATGTAGACTATTTTAATGAATTATATGATTCAGTGGCAGGCAATTATTTTATGATTTATGATGGTTGGATAATTTTTTTCGCGGTAGCGGGTTGGGGCTAAATTCATGAAACTGTCTCAGCTGTAGTGTGAAAAGTTATTTTTAAGTGTTTCATCATGCGCACTTTATTCCAGTGACCTCAAACTGCCAGCCCTGGAAGCAATTTTATGTGGCACACATGAATACATTTCATTTATCTATTTGTTGCAAGTATGGTGTAGCAAAGATTTTAATTATTTGAACCAGATAGATTTTTACCAGATAGTTTAATTTTATGCCCTAAGGCCATTCGCGGTAATTAAGTCAATTAGGATGCAATCACACCGCTCATCCGAAGGCGAAAATATAGAAAAGGAAGTCAAGGGTTAAATTCATCAATTCTAATGAAAATGCACTAGCGAAGTAAAGCACTGCGGTTTTACATAATTTCCGAGTAAGCTATTCTTACGAATTGAAATAATTCTTGCATTTAAACTTGTATTCCATATTAAGATTTAACTTGAAATTAATATAGATAATTACTGAGAGAATTAGATTTTTGTAGCGTAGTTTACGTGAAAGAATAGTAAATTCTTAAATTAATGTCCTTTTACAAATTCATTTTGTTTATTTTTTGTATTTTTACAAAATTTAAACGATATTAAAATCTTTATGCCTTTAAAATAAAAAATTCTTAGTTCATTTGTTAACATTTTTTATGTGTATACTGTGTGTTGTTGCCAATAACGCCAGCAAAATGGAAAAGTACTGATTTATGCATATCATAACAAGAACATTTGTAGTCTGCTATAAACCAAAACCTGGATAAATTGAAAACAGAAATGGCTGTCATTAAAACAGCATTTATCAAACTGTGTAAAGAAATTTAACGTCTTTTAACCAATGAGAAGTGTGAGCTGATCAATGTCAAAGCAAAGTTTATTATTCTTGACTTTGAGTATCAGGAACTTTATGCAGATGTGTTCATTTGATGATTATATTAAGCAAGTGTTTCTCAAACTTTTCCAAAGGGACTTTCCACTTTTATAAATTCAAATGTTCTGTGGACCACCTTACTCTTGTCTCCTTCAAAAGCAGTTTTTTTATCATGTGTTAATACCAGTGTAGTAATATTTTTAAAATACAACTAATTAAAATTCATTTAATTTTATATTGGTATGAAGTTAATAAAATAAAATTTATGTTTTTAATAATTCAAGGCTATTAGAGTTTGGATAATATTTATTTTATTAATTCAAAATTAATATTGGTACTCACACAAACAAGATGGATGAACCTGCCAATTCTTTGTTAGCTGTTCTGTGTTTGGATGTATACTGGTAAGAAGCAACATAGCCATAGTGCTTTAAATTGTTCTTTTATTGCTAAGACTAGAGTGGGCAGCCCTTAGGTAGAATTATTGGTTGTAAATGATAAATAATAATAAATTTCATAAAATGTTAATCTTGGGAGAAAACGTGATAGAGGATTGATTGCCTTGTGTAATTTGCAAACTGTGATATTTTCCGCTACAATGTGGCATATGAGGTTAAACTGAATTTTATTTTTTGTCCGTTTTGAAAATCTAGAAGGGCCACAAAGGAAGCTTTGAGGTTCGGACATTGAGAAATGTTGTTTTAAACATACTGGTCATATACAAAATTAAAATACGAGTGCTTATTGAGCTTTGGACTGATCAAACACTACTTTCTTTAGATCAAAAGAGTGTTTTTGGAATGGACTATTACACACAAGGCAAAGTTTCATCATAAATTTGACAACAGAAGAAATATTTATGGTCATGCGGTTGGCTATGTGAATTGTGAAGATGGATATTAGGCATATAGCTTGCTCATAAATGTCCTTTATTTTTTTACAAATGCTGGTTATAGACATATACTTCCAATGAAAAAATTCTTCAAGTAAAGAAAATATTCATGTTATGGCATTTTTAAATTAAAAAAAAATCATTGTTATAAAAATTACAAAATCTAACATATATGACCCTCACAGTCCCTCAAGTTATATTTAGTCAAATTTTATACTCATCATAAGAAATAAATACATTAAACATCACTTCCAAATGATGATATTTGACCAACTTATTTCATTCTAAAGATGGAGACCATATTCAGGGCCTATACACAAACTGAACAGCAAAGTATATGCATTTATACATTACTTGAAACATCAGTTTAAGGAAAAAATTCCAATAATAATAGACTAAGTGATAAGTATACCATCATGAAGAATGTGGATTGGTATAGTTTTTTTAAAAAAGGAGATTGCAGGTACCCCTTGCATTTATGAGTACCCCTTGGCGAAAATTGGCGGTACATGGATACCGAGTTTGTGCAATTCTTTGACTTGCTATTTCCGCTTTGTTAGCGCTACTCAAAGCCAAAATAGCAAGACAAAGAATTGCACAAAGTTGGTATCCATGTACACATCGACCTATTTTCACTTAAAAAAAACATCAGAGAATTGCACAAACTTGCCATTGTGCACTCACTTGATTTATCCATGTACACATTGACCTATTTTCACTTAAAAAAAATCAGAGAATTGCACAAACTAGGCATTGCGCACTCCTTTGACTTTGTCCATGTAGACATCAAACTATTCACTTAAAAGCCAACAAAAAATATATAGTCTCAATAAATAGCATTTTAAATCAAACAATGAAATAACGGTACTTTTCCGTTTTGCCGACGCAAGCGATAAAGTCGCCAATAATGGTACAACCGATGCCAAACGGAATATTCTCGCTGGTAACCTTCTACGCATCATTTTCAAAACAAGTCGCAGCTTTTTCTTATCAGATTGATTGTTTCTTTCAATACTGGCATATAGAATAAATAGAATTTTTATCAGATAGTTCAGTTTTATGTCTAAGGCCATTTTTGGTAATTATGTCAATTAGGATGCAATCACAGCGCTTACCCGAAGCCGAAAATATAGAAAAGGTAAAGTCAAGGGTTAAATTCATCCATTCTAATGAGAATGCATTAGCGAAGTAAAGCACTGCAGTTTTACATAATTTCTGAGTAAGCTATTCGTACGAATTGAAATATTTCTTGCATTTAAACTTGTGTTCCAAATTAAGATTTAACTTGAAATTAATTTAGATAATTACTGAGAGCAATAGATTTTTGTAGAGTAGTTTTACATGAGTTGAGATCGCTTGGGGTCACGTGATATGAACCGCGAATCAGGATGTTGAACCATGAAAGCATAGTAAATTCTTAAATTAATGTCTTTTTATTTTACAAATTATTGTGTCTTTATTTATTGGCTTTTTTATAAAATTTTAAGCGCTATTAAAATGTTTACGCCTTCTTTTTTTAAAAGAATTCTTAGAACTAACATTTTTTATGTGTATACTGTATGTTGTCGCCAATAAAGTCTGCTTGGCGAGATTTGCGCCGGCGAAACGGAAAAGTACCGAAATAACATAAAAAAGGAATTCATCTTTGCACTACACAAAGGAAATATCCACTTGCCTTATTTGCAAATTAGCATGTCTTCAGTCAAACAAAATTCCTAAAATTATCTGAACTTGAATCTGTATACTGGCGTCGCCACATAAATTCACAGAAGAGTAAAAAATATCTTCCGTAGTGCCATTATCATCCGACGTTCAACTATACGCATTTCCTTCCTACAAGCAGGACACTTAATAATGGCTACTAAGTAAACCTTTATTTACGCACCAGTCAAGTAATACTGTTTTCTCCTTTCTTTCCAAATCGTACAGAAACTTCAAATTAAACTTACTGCATTCAGCCATTTTACCGTCTAAACAAAAGCAAGCAAGATACTTCCTAACTAACACACACCACAAGCCCTTACAAATTTACTAAAGTCATGCAACCAATTATGTCATAATAGGGTTTCCATAACATTCAACTACTCAGGCTACCATAAATGAAATAACAACTTCGCGATAATACAAGGGGTACCCTTCTCTCTACTCTAGCAAGGAGATTTTATTTCCTATAGGATTCATGTTCAAGAAAATAGTAGTAGGCTGCATTATTGGCCTATACCCAATTTGAAACATTATTTGCATAACTTAAAAGTACTTCTAGTTTAATAAAATTTTTTGTATGACTATTTGGTTATGATTTTAAAGTAATAAACTCCATAAGATTATTAACAATGCCCTTCTTAGAATCTGATAACTTACAAATTACATGCATGAAAATTCTTTTGGCATGTCATATGTAACAAAATAATAAATTAAAGAATATTACATGCTAGTAAATCACAAAAGAATATAAGACTAAAGAAAAAAGAATCAACCTTGAATTATTCTAATTTTTTTTAATGAACTTATGATGAAAAGCTGCAAAAGATGACAAAAACCATGAATTTTTTAAATATTATCATAATGAGGTCAAACTTTGTGTGTTTTAACTTTTAGAATGAGTTTAAACTAACTAAATATCATTATAGGGACTGAAAGAGAGTTATAAAATTTCATAATTTATGTAAAATTGATTTTTTAAATGGATGCCAAAACATGAATATTTGCATTTAACATTTTTTTTATTAAGTGGAAGCATATGTCTATGATTAACAGTTGCAAAAATTATCACCACATGAAGACATTTATGAAAACAGTGTATATTCCATCCATGCATATCTTACGTTAAACCTGAACATATCTGTACAGTGTGTAACATTGTGGCAACAAATGATTCTAGATGCGAAATCCATCTTTTACAAATTTTATTAATTCAGTTTTTTTTTACGATTTGTTGCTAATGCTATAGTTGCATACAAGCAGTTAATTTTGAAAGTATTTGTGTAGTTACATGACTGTTGTGTTAGCTGTTATGCATCTTTTCATGTTAATCTCAGAACAAATTACCTATGGATGTGAAGCTACTATTATATTTAATACCCTAAAAAAATTTGATCTCTTTGCCACTGTTCATTGTAGCAAAATAAATAATATTTTAGGCACATTATGTATGAAATGTTTCCCTCTCATAAATGTTTTATATTTCTTTCTAACTTATTAAATAAACATTAATAATCTGCAAGTTTGCAATGCAAGAACAGAGTGTCCTCTTTGCATGTATATCTTTCAATTTCAAATTTTCTTTTATGTTATTATTTTGCATATTTTGTCAACTGTCATATTGACAGTACATTAATTATTTCAAAATATTCATTTTTACTTTAGATTTTATATATCATGAGAAACCCAAAAGATGTTGTAGTTTCTTACTATCATTTTGTTCGGATGATGACTGTGTCAAATTATGTGGGGGACTTTGAAACTTTCCTCCATGATTTTCTTGATGACAAAAGTAAGCATACTACGTGCATTTTTAAATGTACATAACTGAAATATTTTGACATCATAATATAATTACCATGCACAACTCCAAATTTAAGCTTGCAGGGAGAAGTGATTTTTAGCATGATTATTTTGCTGTCATATTTTTGGCAAATGAAGATCTGAGGGGGGAAATGATTTATATAATTTTTTTGTAAATGGCCTCAGAATATCCTTTGGATAAAGTGCATTTTCATTTGCACCGTGCCGTGAACATTTAAAACTGCCAAATTTGAGAATCAGAAAATCCACGTCGTGTAGAGGTTCCGTTGCATTCACCAAAAATAACAGCATGGTGTGGATTTCCTGCATGATTTATTTTCAGTTAATACTTCTTCAAGGATTAAGGTCTACAGGTCCAGTTACATGCTTGACCACTGTTAAAGAATTATATTCTGGCTCTGCAAGCACATCATTGCTTTGCAAGCTCAATCTTTATACAAGATGGACCTGCTGCGCACATTGCATGATAAAAGAATGTTCTTAAAAATCATTTTTCAGAACATGTCATCAGCTGACACTTTCGTAATGTGTGGCCTTCCCAATCCCCAGACATCAATCCACCCAATTTTTTGCTTTGAGGGCATTTGAAACATCTGGCAGTTATTACAATCCAAGAACTTTATTTGATCTTAACCCTTTGAGAGATGGTATATAAAATAATTAAAATTGTGGTAAACTTTTGCATTAATTATAACTTAGGACCCTAAGGACACAAAATTGAGACTTGAAAAAAATCTAGAGCGAAATCCCGATTTTTGAGAGCGGGTATATATTTTATACCGTTGCCTCTCTAAGACATTTTTTCCAGGTAGCTGCCAATTGTTAATTTTTGTTTTTTAAATTAATTTATAAGTTTTGTGAGCTGCAAAATGCAAGTAATTTATACTGGGTTTGATTCCCAGTAACAAAATGGCTGGTTGCATCCAGTAAACCTGTAATGTTTTAATTTTGTTCTAAGTTGTAATGTTTCTTACAATCAATTTATTCTATGAGTGTAACTAAAATTGGTTTATAAAGATGTTAATAATACTTTTAGCTTTCATTGTTTAAATTATTCACTTTCTTGAGTGCTTTCTTTCTTCATATATTGGTGCCTTTAAACCAGTATTGTCAGTCACTGTATTTTTGAACACATCAGCTAATGAATCAAATGGTTTATCTGTTTACTTTAGCTACGCTACATAATTTTTATTAGGTAGAGCATAGTTCTCAGTGTGCTGCAGGAGTAAAGTCTTTGTACTCTTTAATATAATTTTAAAGATACGATTAATTAAATTTGTTCTGCTGCTAAGGAAAACAAAAGACCGAAAAAAAAAAAGCACTGCTAGGAACCTAAGGTTGTGTAGATTTTAGATCATGAATAAAAAATCTCAAGATAACAAAAAAAAAAAAAAAAAAAAAAAAGGTGGATAATAAAAATAAATCAGTCAAAATGCATAAAAGCAAATAATTTCTGACTTTTTATTAGGATAAATTATTTAATTTTAAATTATTATTAATGATTTATGATAGATTTAAATTGTACATTATAATTTTATGCAAAAAGGCAACCGTTTCAAAAAAAATTTTTTTAGTATTTTTCAGACATCTTCTTCCTACATTAGCTTCATTAGGATGTTTTAAAATAAGCTAATTTCCTTCAAATTACACATAGTCATTATTTCCTCTACAGTCACATAATTTTATTATTCTAATTTTTTCCCCGACTATTACTTGTAGGAAAATCATGATTTTAAGCAGAATTTATTCTAAATATGATGAAAATGTATTAATATTTATAGCTCTAGTTGTGATAAAAGTTAAAAATTCTGGTATTTTTTGGTGTAAGAGTCATTGCCAAATAATGTTGATGTTAATATAGCTAATCGAATCGTGAAAGCAACTTTTTCGATATGTTCAAGATGCATTGCTAGTCCAAAAATATAATCATCATTATCTGAGTATTTGCCATGGATAGTTCCTTTCCTTAAAAGAATTCTTCATTATCTAGCAACTGCCAGATTGTAAAATTTACCTCAGTTTTGTTATTATCTCGCATGAGAAGTATCTCCAGCTCGAAACACTCCAAATCAGAATGTTTGGTGCAGGTCATAGTTTAAGGCATTTTTGAACATTTTGGCCCCATTAACTGAAGTTTACCAAAATCCATGGCACTGCAGTCTTATTCAATTAAAACAAAAGCCAATTAAACTTATCTAGCTATATGTACAAGTTTAGCACTTTTGGGGCAAATATTTTTTAACCAACAGTTATAAAAGTGCTATTCCGCAGATAGCTTCAATACTGAATGAGAAAACTTGCCCCACAGAATCGCCACTTTTGACATTTAGTAGGTTACATGTATTCATCTTTTGGTGAATTTTAGGTTAACAAAATTTTAATTTTCGGTTGTACACCATTAGAAGACCAAAACTTAATTTGTAATTTTTATTCATATTTTATGGGTAAGAATTTTGTTAGTAATTATTGCTGATTTTATCTTTTGCTGTAATTATAATTAATTAATTAATAATAAAACTCAATAATAATTAAGAAGGTATTTTTTCAAATATGATATACTAGATTTAAAAAGTTCGTATTAGGACATTGTTCATGGATACTGCATTAATATGTTTTTCTTCTTTTTTTTTTAAGACTGATTCCTCCATTTTAGTTCAATGAAATCTTTTTATATAGTACCCTATGGTCCAGTCTGGAAGCACTATTCTGAAATGTGGGAACACAGAAATGATGAAAATGTTCTCATATTATTTTATGAGGATTTTCAGAAGGTATTTTTTCAAATATTTTTATGTTTTCAAATGTAGGTAACAGAAGTAATTTCTAGCCTTTCTCTGTGAATTGTACACTTAATAAAAAAATAATTACTTTTAGGATATTCATGAAAGCATTAAAAGAATTGCTGAATTTCTTAATAAGGATTTGACTGAACAAGAAATTTTTGCTATAGCTAATCATTGTTCTTTCCATAACATGCGTCGCAATCCAAGTGTGAATTATCAACATTGGGATGATTTAGGTATACGAAAACAAACTGAAGCAAAGTTTATGAGAAAAGGTATAATAGTTTTTATCTTATATAACAAAATCATGAAATTATTATAGCATGTACGTTTAATGTTGCATTTTTAAGTGGGCATCTTTTTTAGTATTGCATTATTAATACTTAAATTTTATACTTATTCTAGGTGAGGTTGGCGACTGGAAGAATTATCTCAATCCAGAGACAAACCATATCATGGATTTATGGATTAACGAGCATTTTAAAAAGATTTCTTCTTTATTTTTATATGATATCCGTAAGCCTCTTTAGCAACAGTGTGCAGAAATTTTAGAAATTAACTTTCATAGAATGAAGTTTAAAAATATAGTTCTTGGCATTTGTAGCACTTTTGCGTTAAAATTATTTGAAATCATCATTTATAAGTATAGAAAGCAATCAGAAGGTGTTTAATGTATTTGCTATGCTTACATGTCATATTGTAAAGCAAACTTTTAGGGCCAAATTTTTGTGTATATTACCTAAAATTAATTGCATGCTTAGGTATAAAGTTCCTCTATAAAAATTTTCCGTTTCATATGAATTTTATAAATTTATAATCATAAAGAAATGTAAGCTAGTTTTTTTTTCTGTTTTCAGTCACTGTGTTTGTTCATCCTCCTAAATAATAATATGCATTTTGTAATGTGGGTCATACAAAATATTTCCATTAAGTTGCACTTACTTCAATTTTCTGTATTGTTTATTCATACTTGAAACATTCGGCATTATTTCTTAAGTGCCTCATTCATCTAATAATATCAGTAGAAATGTGATTTGTGATGCATTATATATAATGTTTGAGACTGTGGGAATGAATAGTAAAAGGATTGTTGTTGGATTTTGAATTATCTTTTTTTCTTTCTTCCGTAAATGAAGTTTTGTTTTTTAGCTATTATGTAAGGAGTGCTTCATAACTGATATATTCATTTATACCATAATGAATACTAAAATATATCATGATAAGCTGAATGAAAAGATATTTGCTGAATTGTGCCCTTTAGTATACTTAATGGACATATTTTCTAACGGGATGATGCCAATACCTATGCCAGTATTCAACAGAATTACAATGTGAAGACATGAATGTTGTATTTTAATAGACTTCCCAAGTTTCAATCCACTAGAAAATCACTGGGATAATCAACTGTGTGTACTAGACCTTTAACCTAACATTAAAATGGACGTTAGAGTCAGCTCTTGAATGATCCAGAGACTTCATAGTCTTTGGAAATTATTTGCTTATTCAATATAAATTAATGGGCAAAATGTGTTGGAAATTAAGTCATTGACTAATGTGGGAAGAAGAGCCAAACTGGTTTATTCTATGTCAGAAGATATGCGGAAGAAAATGTCTTAAAGGACTCGCTCAGCAGCACTTCTCTCTTCATCGCGTAGCTATGCATTCTGCAATAACTTAGATGTTCGGCTCTCTGAAGCATAGCCAATAGGGGACTGGTCACTGGAGTACATTTTGCAACTACATCACCTTCCCTACTGACCTCAGCTTTGGCAACTCTCACTGGGATGATGGTTCTTCATATGCCAACGAGTGCCCAGGCCACCGGGATGATGGTCCTCGATATGCCAACGAGTGCCCAGGCTACTAGTACTCCTCACTACAGTTCTTAGGATATTCCATTATGCTGTACCAGTAGGGATCCAGGTAGTAAAAATTCTGTTCATGCATTCTTGTTCTTGGTCGTACTGTGAGATCGTTTTGAGCTATGATTTGATGCACGAATTTCACTCCTTCATCTTTATTCTGAACAGAGGTAGAATGCAGTTTACTATTTTTTAAGTCCAAAGAAAAATTGTTATTTCCTTAGCTAATTCGGGTATGCAAATTTGTAATATCTGCCACATATGCCGTGTGATGGTAGGCCGCCCTTCCAAATGTTATATCAACGTTTACCTTTCCATTCATGCCAATTTTATCCCCGGATGCAGTCTGGAAGGTAATGCAGGGCAGCGTACAGATGAATTTACCTTCCAGTTTCTGAGACAAGTCTTTTCTGATGATGGCAACATCTGCTTCTATATCGACGATCATACTGCAAGGAACTCCATTTGCCATGATGACAAGTCCGTTACGCCACTACTTACTGCAGAAATCTGAGGTACTTTAAAATGGGATTTCTCAATATCTGTCAGCCTCCACTCCGCAAGATGGGCACTAGTTTCCCTGCTTATTGCTGGGGTCTTAGATTCCGTGCCTTTGAGTGTTCTCCAGTTACTTCGCACGTGGCCTTCACCACCGCAATTCCAGCACTTTAGGGTAGTTTTTTTGTCACTATTCCATCTCAAGGCATTGACTTGCCTGGCTAAATTGTCTAGAGAAAATTTCTTAACTTTATGGTGTAGGGACCCCCTAATATTTACGAAAATTTTGAAGGACCCCATAAGCATTGCATAAATCCTAGACACGTGTGAGTGAAACTATCATTTTCTTCATTTATACTGTAATATACGATTGCATTTTTAGGTCATTGACTTTAATATTTAAAATAAAATGGACGCTTCTATTATAAAAAAATGCTTCAAAATGTTTTCGTCTTTGTTTCTTATCTTTATCTATTTTCAGACATATTATGTAAAAATATTTGGTAATTATAAAATTATTATAATAAGTTCATGAAATACCAGACTTGGTAAATTTTTGGTGATCACCTACTGCACGTCCCGTGATCCCATTTGGGGTCGCGACCCACAGTTCAAGAAATTCTGGTCTAGATGATCAGTCACTGGATGCCCTGGCTCCTGAACTTGAGCAACTCTGACTGGGTGGCGGTCTTCACCTCTTCCTTGCTGGGCTGCCTCGAACATCATGGTGTACACTAAAGCAATTCCAGCACTTTAGGGTAGTTTTTTTGTCACTATTCCATCTCAAGGCATTGACTTGCCTGGCTAAATCATCTAGACAAGGTTTCCTAACTTTTTGGTGTAGGGAACCCCTAATATTTACGAAAATTTTGAAGGACCCCCATAAGCATTGCATAAATCCTAGACACGCATGAGTGAAACTATCATTTTCTTCATTTGTACTGTAATGTACTATTGCATTTTTAGGTTATTGACTTTAATATTTAAAGTAAAATGGACGCTTCTATTATAAAAAAATGCTTCAAAATGTTTGTCTTATCTTTATCTATTTTCAGACATTTTATGTAAAAATATTTGGTAATTATAAAATTATTATAATAAGTTAAAGAAATATCAGACTTGGTAAATTTTTGACGATCACCTACTGCACGTCCCACGAACCCATTTGGGGTCGCGACCCACAGTTAAAGAAATTCTGGCCTAGATGATCAGTCACTCAATGCCTTAGGTCCAGGACTTGAGCAACTTTGACTGGATTGCAGTCTTCGCCTTTTGCTTGCTGGGCTGCCTCGAACTTCATGGTGTACACTAAAGCACTTTTTAAATACACCATTCGCATGCCTTCCTGTATCTGAGGATCCCAGATGCCATTGATGGCCATATTTTAACCGAAGCCTGCTGTAGTCTTTTAAACACTTCTCACCAAAGTGCAGCTCCAACGTGCCAGATGAATTTCGAAGTCTAGCCTCTGGTTTTCGGACGGAGTTTGAAAGCCAACCGCTCTCAGAGACATGATGAGGTGGCAAGCCTTAGTTTGGAAATTCCATTCCTTTGCTTTTGCCGCTACAGAGAACTGAGTCTTGTACACTAGCCAGGATGTCCTCCCATCATATGTGGATAGCTTTAGAGATAGCCTTTAGGAATTTAAAGGTGTCAGAATTGCGCCCAGTTGTAATTGTGGATTTCTTTGTACTGTCAACTTTGTTGGCAATAGCAGCAGCAGCAGCTCTGTCATTAATTTCTTTTGAACATTAGAAACCCTTTCTTGAATTTCTGCAACTCTGTCTTGCATAGCTTCGAATTCTGTTATGGCAGTAATTTTTCTTTTCACTTCCTCTTGACCTGTTGTGGCCCACCAATAGCCGAGCGGTAAAGTCGCTGAACACTGGTAGTTCGGTCTGAGGTTTGAATCCTGCAAACGGGCTAGCTGCATGGGAGTTTTCGTGGTTTTCCCCATGTGTAACGTGTATACGAGCCAGTTTACCTTAGAAAGTCCTCCACGAAGGCATCCCCCTCCTAGGCAGATAGCCCTTGAGGCATTGCCATAATCACATATACCCTCTTGACCTGCTTTCATCTCTTTAATGGAATTGGCATCCCCTTCTGTCTTCTCACCAGCTGTGTTAATTACTTCTCGCTCCTGTCAATGGCATTAAAAACCTCTTCTGACATCAAAAATTCTTGCTTGGTTTTGGGTTTTTTAATGGATTGAATGCACACGGAACCGATGACAGCTTGATAAAATTTGCATTTCCAAAAGAAACACTTTGAAGTTCTGAAACTCAACAAAAATACTCGTATAGCTCTTCTCAGTATAGCACAGCATAAATCAGTAATAACTACTTCAAACTACTAATAATGTTAAACACAACACGATGCAAAGCAAAACTAAAACCGAAGCTCGCAAGACTTCTCAATACTCCGGACTCAGCTCTGAACTAAAAGCTGAGAACTGATGCTCTCTCCAGGCTTATATAGTTGTCTCCCGTCCACTATATATATCGCATTGTTCTAATATAGTTATTTTGACGCGAAATCGGACTTTTTCTGAAATAACATAACTATTTTTTTCCATATTCTATTTTACGACTAAAATTATGACTAAATGTAAAATTTTCTTAACCTGAGTTAGAAACTTACCGAGAAATTAAAAAATTTATCTTGGTGCACTTTTATTAGTTTGTACCACGAATAAATTCACTTGGCGAAATCCTTAATTTAAGGTAACCTATTTTCCATTTCCTTTCATTGTGCATGAGTGGAAAAAAAGGGACTTCATTCATTTTTTCAAATAATTTGAATAAAGTGTAAATTGCATTTGACGTTATATTGCTTATAGCAAAAATGTCAAATTTCAAAAAGCTTCTATACATAAATTCACGTACATCGTGAGAAATTTTGAATAAAAATCTCTTAGATTTTTGCAGGTATACCTAGAAATACATCTACTTTAATGTGATGCTAAACATTTTAGAACTTATATTTCAAAAATTTATTGATATTACTAAAAGCCACAAATTGTAAAAATAAATAAGAAAATAGCTATAAATTTTATTGGATTGAATTTCAAAAGAAGGAATCAAGTAAGTTTAATAAAAATTAATAAATATCCACCAAATTCAAGTAACATTGAGGAGCTAAAATTTTGAGAGAGAACTTTAAAACCCTTTAACTGTCAAGTTATTTTGATGATTTGGGTGCATAAATTGTCAATTTTTTTATTGCAAAATGAAATGTTTGCCGCACACTTTGAACGTGAACCTCTATCCTTTGAAACCTTCAGTAAAGTGCTGCCATCTGTTGAATTGAAGCCAAAATAAACTTCCCACAATATATATACAGGTATAACAATACGATGCACTCAAAAAAAATTACCCCAAGTACTTCTCGGGCGTGATATTTTGGAATACCAGTGCTGTGCCCAAGATTATTTCAGGCATGACAGTTAAAAGGTTTTAAAAACTTCCCATGCGATTTTTACAAAATTTGGTACTTCAGCATAATAGAGTCATAGAATAGATATTGGAAAAAATAGGCATGTTTCAAAGAAAAGGTCCGATTTTGTGTCAAAATATCAATGTTAGCACAATACTATATATATATAATATATATCCTAAGTCGCACTAATGCGACATGAAAAACGTTAAGTTAAATTTCGTCAATCAGCCCAGTAAAACGGGAGATAAAGAAATGTCCCTTTTTTGTGCGTGTGTACAAGTATATCAGTACATACAGTGCAATTCTGCCCATTCAATTTTCGAGAGATAAAATGAACAGAAAAATTATATGAGAAATGAGATATAAATTCTCACTTCTGAGTTTTGTTTAAAAATTCATGTGTACAAATAACCTCGGCAGAGTTTGAAATAAGTTCTATATTAATGAGCAACATTTAGTTTTTTTCATTTGTTAGTTGCCTCGTTTTTCCATTGTGGCTATTTACTGTGTGTACCAAATACAGTGTACTTACACATTGCTGCATTTTCATCACAACACAGTCATTAAGGAGAACACATATTTAGTAACATTAATATTTTAATTCATACAAAAAACCCCAGTCGCTTAGTTACAACGTTCTGACAGACAAAGTAGACAGATGTCTTGTTTTGCACCCGCTAAGTCTTTTTGCTCTGATGGGCGAAAAATCAAGCATAGGTGCACAGAAAAGGAAGAATATATATATAATATAAGTATGTAGAAAGGGGGGCAATTTCAGTTTTCAGAGGAGAGTAAAAAGGAACTTCGTATTGTTTTATACGAGTTCAAAAGACCTGGAAGAAAAATTGGGACAAAATAAATGGCCCATAGTGATTTAGAGAAGTTGCCAAGACACACTGTATAATATTAACCAGATACAGTTAACAAATATGTAACACACATTTTCTACTGTCAGCAACTGTTTTTATTCGCATTCTTTGTGAAGTCCCATTTCATCGTTTTAGTTAGAAAACCAACCTCTTTTCAGAGATTTACTGTATGTGAAGGCCAATTTTTTAAATGACTACCAAATTAAATGTTAAATTTCCCATGCAGAGAGGTTCCTACTCCTTCTGCTTGTAAATTCTTTATAATTTTTTCATGTGTTTCAAGTTTTGTTGAATCTACAGTGGACTGTAGTTAGTTAATGAAAATCTACATGTGAACAAATGACTGGGATACACTTCAGAATTTTTTGATACAAACAGAAAATCTCAAATTCTGAATTATTTTATTGCACACATGAAAATACATCGAAGAGCAAAAACATTATGACCACCTACTCAGTAATGCATTGTGTGACTTTTGGCCCACAATACAGCTGCAACTCGTCTTGGCATGGATGCCACAACTGAAGACAGGTTGTACCAAATGTCTAAGGAACAGTCGTGCAAAGTCAAGCTATTCTGATATGGTGGTGTTTGAGCTCTTAGTTGCCACTCCATGACATCTCAAATATGCTGTATCGGGTTAAGATCCGTTCAGTTTTGTGGCTAGGACATTAATTGGAGCTCATTCTTATGGTCTGCAAACCAATCAAAACCAATTCAAGCCTTGTGATATGGGGTGTTGTCCTGCTGGAAGATTCCCTTTCCAGATGCGAAGACACACAGCGTGTAAAGGTGCAACTCATCTGCAATTATGTTCAGATAGTCCAAAGCATTCATAGTATGTTCTACGCAAGGAGGTTAGAATATTTATAATAATAGGAATAAAGTTATTTTATTTTAGAATGCTTAAATACTTCAGATTTAAGTTTCAATACACTAAAACATAAATTCACACATTTAAGCAATAATTATCTAAAGAATAGTCACAGGTTGCATTTTTTTAAATGAAAGTTTTAAATACGTAGCGTATTCGGAAACTAAGTACCGTTTCATTCTAGCGCTGTGATAGGCGTCCCGCGCATGCGCACTTGTCTTTCTTGTTCACTGACTTTCAATTGTCGCCATTTTGGTTGCTC